AGTGCAAGATTAAACCTGATCAATGTACCGTAGGTGTATTTTTTGTTATATAATTGCAGCATTCACTTCAAGAATTTGGCTGTCGTTAATCACAGAAGGAATACGGTAAATCACTAAAGTGCAAACGTCAATTCCAGATGTTTGCTGCACTTTTGTCAATTTCCAATTGTTTCATAAACTACTGTACTTTTGTCATTATTCAAATGATTTATTTTCTTTCAATAACATTACATGTACACTCGTGCACCTCCAATTCGGCAGGGCGGACCATACCATAAAATTGCCGACACCTGGCCGACTGTGCCGACAAGACATGATTGGTCGAAAATGTAAGAAAACTGATTGATTCAAGTGAATAGATTGACACGGAAGGTGTAGGAAACTTGCGTGCAACACTGGTTGTACGCCAAGCGAAGTTCGCTGCGAACAAAGTAAATAAAATAATATATGGAGCATATCATAATTAATGTTGTGCAAAGGCTGCACCTCACAGCCTACTCCATGTAGCGTTGTGTAATATGATGCTAACTTCTTGTCTCTTGAGAGAGCTAGGAGGCGACTACTTCATGCATCCAAGTGGCAGCATTTATTTAACAATGCAACTTCCATATTTTTTTTTGACATATTGTTTTTTTTTTCATAGTTTGCTTTTCGCAACTATTATCCCAGCTGGCAGGCACTGACTGTATTTTAGCTTCAAATCACATGCAAAAACGATAATACAGTACCACACTCGTGAATACTGTACTCGCCCAGTATTACTAAAAGGACTATTTACAGTTAATAATACACAATGTAGTACTGTATATTGAACCAAGTGGTGAAAAACAAATCCTGAGAAAAAAGGCAGTCGGTTGCTTTCACAGCTGCTGGGCAATCAATGATGTGTAGAGCAAATCAATTGCAGTAAACTGCATTACGCTAATGCTTGAAACGCTAGAAGCTAATGCAATTCTCACATGGTAACGCTACTACACAGAGACATCTAGGCTAGGTCGCATAACTACATGGTTTCTTACGCTTTTAGCATAAATAGCTAGCAGGAAGTTTGCCTGCGCCAACGCTCCCCCAACTCACTTCTACTTTTGCACTCCCTTTAGCCAGCGTTCTGCTAGCGACCGTTTTGCGGGAAAGTCAGTGTGAAGTAGAAGTTGGGAGTCTTTCGGTGCGCGTTTCTCTCCGGATCCGGCGATTTGCTAGATAATCAGGACGGAGATGCAATCCAACAATTTGAGACGGACAAGAGGTGGTCCAATGTGTCAGAATCAGAGCGGAACTTCGGTTCGATACTCGCTCTGCGGATTATATTCGGTCAACAATGCTCTTCAACACCGCGATATGTTGTCGGTTGAGACAATGGCGCCAATTGTGCGTCGTTTGAACGAAAAATCAGGCGAAAGTGAGGGCCTTAAACCTCACGGTAACGACAAATACGGTGCCTATTCTACGGCGGCGCTGCACGAAGCACTTCGAGCCAAGGGATATCAACTGAGGTACCTCAACAACATGGCGACTTTCAATTGTAGCAAGAAGAAGTGGTTTAAGAAGGTGGCCCGCTCCAAGTACAAGCATCTCATGATCATTGGTAGAGCAATGGGTCAGAAGAAAGGGACGTGGCACTCTATTGCGCAAGCTTTAGTTCGTGACAAACACTACTATATCGACTCCGATGAATTCGTCTACAAGGCAAGCACTGAGGAGGGATTGCGACATTTCTTTGCCGAGGTTGATGGTGTTTATGCCATCGAGCCAAGTAATCAATCAAAGTAAATTTCTTTTACTTTTAATCCTTCTTCAAAATTCAAGTTTTAAATTAAAAAATACATTGTAGTTTGATTTATAATAATAATAATTAAATTTGGGCAACTCCACAGTAATTTAATATTAAACAACACGTGAAAATGTGAGTTTGTTTGTATGTCTCTTTAAGTCGTTTGTGTAGCTGGTATTAACCTGAGTAATCTACTTGAGTGAAAAAAGATCATGCGTTTCGCGTGGAGCTGGATCAGTGATCCCTTCCGTCGCAACACGAGCCCGATATGCTTCTATCAGCTTGTTCAGCTTGCCTCCATTGTAGTACTTCCGCAGCTGCTTGAGGGCGGAAGACCCACTCTTGCGCTTAGTGCTTTGCTCTTGAAAAAAGTTGAGCAAGTTTGCCTCTGCTTCTTGTCCAACACGAAGGCCTTGGTCGCAGTACGTCGATGTGGACGGGTCCAGATGAAATCCGTTAGGCAAGAACAGCTTCATGTAGTTCACGGTTTGCTTGTAGGCAGACTTTCTCTGCCGATCTCCGCACACATCCCAGAGTCTTGGGGTCTTCGCGTACCACTCAAACCAAATAGCTGCAGGTCCCTTAGGAAGCGCCTTGCTTCCACATGTCTTGGACCTGGCAGGACTCTCCGAGCAATCCGCACCTACCTGAGTTGCATTAAACGACGGAGATGAGGACGCTACCGCCTGACTGACACCACGCTCGAGTAGGCTGACTCGGTCGGTTAATGAGCGGTTCATCGCTATCAGCTCGCCAATAATGCGATTCTGATGGTTGATAAGCTTCTCCTCTCTTGTTAGCTTCTCTTCGTCCACCTCGTTCTCAACGAGATCCTTCCGCGTAACCTTCCCTTGCAGTTCCGAACTCCACGCTAGCATCTGAGCCCTGGACAATCCAACCGTTATTTAGCATTCCCGCATTCTGGTGGCGTACAGGCACATCGGATAGCGCTCGAGTACTTCAGGGAAATGTTGGATCAACGACGCCACCAGGACTTCAGCCACACGCCCGTTGAGGTTTTTCTCTGGATCTTGGGTGTTGATGCTAGTCTGAAATAACAGATTTCCCAATTCCAGCGCTTGCTCTCGGCTCGCGAAGTCGAACCATGAAAGTGTGGGTACCGGTGGCTTTTTGCTGGAGTCCCACCCGCTGAGTACTCGAGCTACCTTCTCGTCTTCACTTGTTGTGTTGAATACGTATGCGAACGCTTTGTTTGTTGCCGTCATGTTCCACGACCCTCTGTCGTAAATCCATTGTGCACTGAGTAGTGGGTCGCTGTTGGCATGTTGGGCTCCACCACGCCGAAACGAATGAGACGTCAAATTCCCAGTGGGGTTCACTTTGGCTTGAGCAGCCGATGCAGACTTGACAACGCGATTCACGTAGGCATGGATCTTCATGCTATCCACAGGTACCTTTCGCTTTTTTTGGGGAGGTTCAGCTGGAACGTCGTCGTCGTCGCAAAGCACAAGGGCTTCAGCTAGTGGGATGTCGACAGGTGCTGCCACACTCTCCTCGCTCCCTGCCGCAAGATGAGGATGGTCGAGTAGTTGGGCGCACGGGGAATCTTGCATTACCAGTGTCATTGCGATAGCATGGAGAGGGCACGTTATGAAGCTGTCCCTGTCGGGGAAAAGTGAAATCCCTTGTTCTTCTGCTGTTTTCACCCGGATGAGCCTAACGAACACCACACCATCGGCACTAACAGAAAGATTGCCTTTGACCACGAACCCAAGGTCGGAGACACGACCAAACGCATACCACATCAGTGCAAGCAAGGCCGCGTCTTGGTAGTCCTTGGAACTGGCGGCGTCATAGTAGAGTCCATCCATCAGAATACGCAAGTCCTCCTTCGTACACGCAGGTGCCTTCTTGACCATTCCACCTTCGACTCTCTTAAGGCAGTGGCGCTCGAGCGTCTGGCCCATCTTGAGAAGCTTCTGTTCGATGGCCGTGCGGTGCTTCGGGTAGGTGTCGAGCAGCCAGTTCTTCACGTGACGGTAATAGCTTATGACAGAGTTCCTAGCCAGCGGCTTCCCTCCTCGTCCCTCCATAAAGGCTAGATGACCACCAAAGCGATCCATGAGCTTCACAAACACCGCTCCGCTTCCGTCTCCAAGGAGGGAGGCTGCGACGAAGTCCATGGTGACTCCTTCCGCAGCGATGAACCGGCCAAATGCGTTGATAGCTGTTTGGCGAGCGCGCTGGGAGTTGGCAGGTGCGAGGTCTTGAAGGCTCATACTCGTTTCTAGTGTTTTGTCGGTAAGAGCGCAAATATGCCAGTGATGTGGACTGAACTAGTGGCTCGTATTGAGCCGCTGTATATTCTGCCCTCCGTGCCTATATTATACGTCGGCACAATGTCGGTAGCCTGTAAACTTACCCCTAGTGGATATTATTGATAGATTAGATACATAGATGAATCTCATTGGTCAAAAGGCGCACACTGCTGCCATTTTCCTATACTTAAATGATGATAAAATTATGTGTCCTTGATGATATTCATCCATATCAACAGTGCCAGGGCATAAGTGCACAATGTAAAGCAAAAAACAAACGCAAATTATGTGCACTGATATTTGTTTTGTTAATTCAGTACAAAATTTACTTTAATCTTCTGCATAATTTTGGCGTCAGACGCGGAATCGCCAGCGCGCAGCAGCGCTTCCGGTCGCGATAGGCATCCGGCAAGGCGGCAACGTCCGCCGACCGCTTAAGAATACTCTGGACGGTAGTGCGCTTTACTGCTTGGGGGGGTCTTAAAGCACTCCGTTGAACAACGAGCAAGGTCGGAGTGAGAGCATGCAGGATCTGACTTGTGCTTCTCGCACAAAGACTGCTATTGTGCTAGAGTTAGGGACATGTAGGAGGAAGGGCGATGTCCCATTGTCTTTGGCGGTAAAAAATCAAAGTGTGTGTTTGTATGAAGACGTCCGATCCAAAATTTAAAATCAGATCGATGCGGCGTGTCATCCCTCCGCGAGGAGGGGAAAACCGTTGAGGTTACGGTAATTGCTAGGGTGGTGATGGGCAAAGGTAATTACGCATCAGATTTGCGTGATCATAAAATCTGGTAGGGTATCGACTGATACCGGTGCCGAATTGGAGATGCACGACTGTATTTAAATAGTCCATTGGTTAAAAAAAAAACGTTTTCAGCCACTCACCGCAAAGGCCGCGTGGGCCATTCGATTTTTCGACCAAGACTTTCGTCGCCTCACTTTTCAAACCGGAAGTTATAACTCGCATCATGGCTCCCGCTGCCCCGAAAGTGTACGTCGCCGCCTGAAGTCCCTTCAGCCTCGAGCTTCTTCTTGCTACATCATGGAAACTCGCCTGCGTCTCTAAACCTTCTGCGTTAAGCGGAGGGCGACGTACGGTCGGATCGTGAGAGTAAAGCGCAGTCTAACGCACGTTACAATGCCCCCAGTTGGCTTGTGCATTAGCTCGCTCTTCTCTTGAAATTGATACGGAGAGGTGGCATTTATGCTGCCTTTCTAACATCTCCCTATGTGTCTCGGTGAGGCAACATACGTGGAGGATCGTGGTGCGTGTGGCTTTCAAGCCACTCCACTCAAATATAACTATGACGGGTGTGTCGGAAGCCCTCTCTTCGGAGTTGGGGAGGAGCCCAGAGCCAACCGATGCCTTCATGCATCCCGTCCTAATTGTTGTGTGTCTCTTTAACTGCAACCTTCAGTCTCGTCCCTGAGTCGATCCTCAAGAAGCGTCGTACGCTCGAGCAGGTGAAGGCCAAGCGTGTGGCTAAGGCCGCCGCTGACCGTGTGCACCGCAAGAAGGTCCGTCAGATCGCATTCAAGAGCGCCGAGAAGTACGTCAAGGAGTACCGCCAGGTAAGACACTTGCTTATATCCATAAAACAGCTTAAGCAATCTTAAACTAACTCTTTATCCTGTCTATTCCAGCTAGAGAAGCAGGCTGTTACCCTGCGTCGTCAGGCTAAGTCGACCGGCAACTTCTACGTGCCTGCTGAGGCCAAGTTCGCCTTTGTGATCCGTATCCGCGGTATCATTGGCGTGTCCCCCAAGGTCCGCAAGATCTTGCAGCTTCTGCGTCTGCGCCAGATCCAGAACGGCGTGTTCGTCAAGCTTAACAAGGCCACCATCAACATGCTGCGTCTGGTTGAGCCCTTCGTGACCTACGGAAACCCCAACCTTAAGGTGACCCGTGAGCTGATCTACAAGCGTGGATTCGGCAAGGTCCGTGGCCAGCGTATCCCTCTGACCGACAACTCGGTGATTGAGAAGTCTCTGGGCCACGTCGGCATCATCTGTATCGAGGACCTGATCCACGAGATCTTCACGGTCGGCGAGCACTTCAAGCAGGCCGCCAACTTCCTGTGGCCCTTCCAGCTGTCGTCCCCCAACGGCGGCTACACCAAGAAGCTTCTGCACTTCGCTGAGGGCGGTGACGCCGGCAACCGCGGTGCTGAGATCCACAAGTTCATCAAGCAGTGCCTGTAAGCAGTTCGTGTGGTCGTTTCTTGCGAGGTTTCTATCAGCGACTTGGTGTTTGAACGAGCGTTAAGCTTGCTCAGATGCTTTAACAAATCGGTTTGAAAGATAAATGAAAAGGTCTATTTGACTTAACCAACTTTTTGTTATCTGTGTCGCTTCCTGTGTTACTTTCTGTAATTTATGTTATGCAGTTTTATGTGGTTTTAGCTTGCGGGACTACACGTCGTTGCCGAGAGGGTGGAGCTAAGGGCGTGCTTAGCGATAACCCCAAACGAGGAGCTCCACCAGCTCCAGCGCCTGCAGTTTGAGCACGTCTCGACACGCACTTCTCGCACGTGCAATTACGCTGATGAATTGCGATCTTCATGCGGCGTTTGGCTTCTGCAAGGCCCAAATAGTTTTCACGCATGTCACTTAACTGGTCAGCAGAACGCGCTGTGGCCCATAGACGAACTTCAGTCATCTCGTAATCCTGCATCCGCCAGCCTAGCAGCAGTTTCGAGGGTTTCGACACAGTTTGGTTACTCGGTGCTGTCTGCGACTCTCCAACGCAGCGAGCGTCAATATACAGTTTAAGCCCAATACGTTGAGCAGATGACACGTCCATAGTAAAGGCGACATGACGCCAGCCTTGGTTACCAGTGTGCTCCATCTTCTGCGTCGAGCGCACTTGCTGGTTCCCGCACGTAAGCACCAAATGGTCGTCTTCATCGACAGCCAATTCCCAGCTCACAAGACCGGATACATCTTCTCCTTTCACGCCATCGTCAAGGGTCTCTACACGTCTGCGAGATACCAACACTTGGCGAGCGCCACCGGATAAAGTTGCTGGTATTTCCTCGCCACCTTCAACAATTTTCTGAACTTGATCATACATTTTGTAGTTTCGAATCCACACTTCAAAAGTGAACTCACGACGATACGGGTCTTCGTCGAAAGTGGTGGCAACATCGAGAGTGCTGCCTGGTCGGATGGGGCATTGAGCTCCCCAGCCACTTGAAGCCAGGGAAGACGTAGAAGAAGGGAAGCGTAGTGCGAATTCTTCCGGGATACGACCAGGTTCTCCACGATCCACAGGCGCGGAAGACTCAACGAGAGTCACAGGACCAAAGACACGTAAGGCATTTTCACGTTTAGATGTGTCCAAGCACTCGATCCCATCGGGTGAAGCTTCACCGCTAGCTGTAGCCCCTTCCTCGAATCGCCAATACGCCACAACGGCATCTTCTTCGTCTTGGAAAGGACCGATAGTCATCTTCGCATTTGCTGCTTCAGTCAAGGCACCAGGATTTGGCGAGAACGCTGCAGAGGTAGACGTTGCATCAACGTTCAGAGATCCACTGATAGCTGACGCTTCAGTAGCGAAGATGGAGTAATTTAATGCACGTGGGTCAGTCGTAGCCACTCGTGTCTTGGTTGATACACCCAGCCATTCACTCGCATCTTCTGGAGCTAGACGCTTCCACAGTAACGTTCCAGCACGTGTGGAGTCAGTTGAGTCATCCTGACTTGGCTGCTTCTCAACGGGTAGTCTGAGGCGATCGAGTGGAGCTACACTGTGTAGTAGACGTCCACGACGCATGGGTTGCGTTAGCGTTTCGCAACAGAGAGCAGAGAAGGGATCATTCTGTAGGTCTTGACTCTGTGTCATAGCAGCCTTCGTGATAGCACTCAGAGGTGGGTTCAGCTTGTTCCAAGCGTTCTGAAGCGTATCGAGCACTTCTGAAGAAGCTGAGGCAGTGTTGAACTTGCGGAACATCGTCAAGAGAGCTTCATCGTCTCCTGACAGATCGAGGCAACGCATCGCCCAGTCCGGTTGACCAATACTCTCAAATACTACCGCGAGTTGTCGAAAGCGTCGAGCTGTGGGTCCCATTCTGGACGGAAGCTTCGCAGCTCCGTCTGAATCGATAGCTATGACGTATTCTTCAAGTGCAGGGTCATGCGCGAGGAAGACTCGCGAGAAATCCTCCCATTTATGAGCGTCGAGGAAGATGGAGCTCATCATTGTTCTCGACAGTAGAGACGTTCTACTGTAGTTTGAAGACGGAGCAGCAATTGCCGCACCGTCTACAGCTACAGTCGCAGACGATTTTTCGTGCGAGTTGAGCAGTGCTTTCAGCACTTTAAGCACTTTATCTTTCCATCCGAACGCGTGATACGCAGTCTCCAGCACTGCGTCGGAGATCGAGCACACAGGACGATCACTATCGTCACTCATGAGTGTAAACGCAACCATTTCACGTTCGAATACACGGCGTAACGTGGCGTTAGGAGTGGCAAAACCCAGCAGAAGCGGCTCACATAAAGCCACGGAATGCAGCGTCAATCGACTGGACAACGTCGTTGGATTGGAAACCGCGTAGCACAGTCGATCCCCACACATCGAGACGAGTTGAATACTAGATCGAGTAAAACCTGAACGAATGCCAAGGTCAGCTATGCTGCATACAAGTCGACTAGTATCTTGAAGATGATGAGCTACAGGAGTGACGTAGCGAACTTGGTTTCCAGTAGTGCTGTACAGGAGTGTCTGGGAGACCCACAGTACACTGTCTGGTACCCCCACGAGATCTTCGTTAAAGTCGTATGCACGCAGTTCATGGAGTTCAGGAGAAAGCACCACAACACGTCGAGTGGTGGTGACAGCCAATAGAAGATGCTGCTGTGAGTCGTGCGGCCCAATTTGTGGACAGGTTGAAGAATTCCATTGTACGTCGACAACGCGTTCGTTCGACCCACAAGTCCAGGACGAGGAGTTTTCAATTGGTACAGAAAGATCGTCTCCACTTAGCACAAGTCGCTCATTTTGAAGACCTGCATCGAGTAGATACAGCAACTTGCACACAACATGTTGGTACGGAGAAGATGCCGAGAGTAGTAGTGGTGTGGCGAATACCCGGGCGACGGGTTGATTCAGCTTCACACGTTCATTGCTGGACTCACGAGTCGTCTGAAAAGCAATCGCATCTCCAGTCTTGGATAGTACTAGCAGGAGATAGGGTAGAGACTTGGCGTCAGCGTTTTCTAGGGATGGATTCATACCGAAGCAGAGGTCTCGAGCTTCATGCTGTAGCGGACCGTATTTTAACTCAATCGCCGGTAAAGCGCTTGGAGCGACTACTCCATCTTCTTCATCCGGGTTGACAACGACGTCGGTCATTGCAGGATCCACCGTAACATCGAGATCGAGCACTGCAAACGAGAAGGAAGAGGCACGGACATCATTTGTTGCTGCGTCTTGACCTTTTTCGCGTAGTTTAATGCACACAGCGGACTGGTTTCTATTCGAAAGCATTTGGAATGGTAAGAGCGCAACTCCACGCTCGCTTTTCCAGTCGGGAAGTTGGTCGCTTGAGCCTGTTAATCGACCTGAAAGCTGAGAGAATCGTTGCAATTTTAGCACTGGAGTGCCTTTGGCGCTGGTCTTTACAGCAATTTGCAGCTGTGACGATGGAATTCCGGTCGGATAGTCATGATACTGAGCGAGTGTAAGCTGCGTCATTGTACTCAGTGCTAGAACAGTCTTAGGCTCCATTTCAACGGTACTTATTGACGTCGCATTTGACTGCACGTCGACAAGGAAGATGGATCGCCGGTTTACGGTGCTAGCGTAGACTGCAAGCGAGTTTTGCCACAGAACGATGTCCGTGGCAAACACCTGATGTCTCCCAGTTGGCATATTGAGTGTCGAGGAATTGGCAACAGGCCACCAATTTGTCATGACACCTCCGCCACTACTGTTGCCGCCTGCTCCACCTCTAGGACTCGTGACCGAGTTCCCTTCGGTTTTCACAAGCTCCCACGCTGCAATGACATCGATTCCGACTTCACTTTTATGTGAACGCCAATGCATCAGCAACACTGGAAGTTGAGGATGAAGAGCCAACGTTAGCCTTCCTCCTAGTCTTGACAAGTCCGGTGTTTGAGGTGGAGCCCTATAGACACATCCTTAGCTTCAATATGAACTACATTGTCTAGGAAGCTTAGTACGTACAACATTGTGGAGGCGACACAAGTGTGAGCTTGGCCATTCATCGCAATAACATCGACACGGCGGTTTTGGTAGGCTGCTGCGAGGAACATGTTGCTACGACTCCCGTTTGTACCACATCCAGTGCACATTCCGATACATATCTCCACGACTGGAGACTGAGCTAACTGCACTGCGAAGAGTGGAGTAGCAAAACCTGTTGATTCCTGGCCCTTTTTAGGGATTCCACCATCCACTTCGTTTGACGAGATACTCCACACTTGAATAGTGCCATCGTTGCATCCAGAACTGAGTAAATGGTGCTCAGTTGAGTATGCCAGCGAGACAACGGAGCCTCCTCGAAGAGCACTTTTACGCAGAATTTCTCGAGCTGGACGTGGAGAATCAACTCGAGTGACTCGAACGTTGTTACTGCCTTCAGCATTGAAGAATAACCATCGATCGGTACAAAGTGAAGTAGCAAGTGCCGTAACGCGACGAGTTCCGTGCACTTTGTCGGCGTCTGATGTGGCTAATAGCACAGATTCATCCAGATCCCAAACGACGAGAAGACGAGATTGTAACAGCCCCACGACGAAGTGGGGGCCTGCAGGGAGGATCAAGTCCACGTTACTGGAAGCCAGCAAGTCGAACGTGATGTGACAGAGTAAAGCTCCAGTGTTGACATCCAGCTCTTCCAATGTGTCTCCTTTGACGCACACGATACTACCTCGACTCTAGAATAAACAAGAAATGGTTAGTTAAGGACTTCTACTCGTCATAATGTTGATACTAACTCGTACCGGATGAAACACTACGCGCTCTACGAATTGATCGCCATAATTCGAGGTGGTAGGCTCATCGATCACTGCCAAAGGTTCTTTTCGAGGCACTAGAGACAGAAACATACTCAAAGCCTTCGAAATCGAGTTGTCTCTAAGATCGTCGGCGACTTCTCGCTGTCCGAGATTCGAAGAAAAAAAATAACAGACCACGAAAACGGAAAGTTTGTTGTATTTATTTTATTTTCGATAAATTCAAGCTAAGCTGAAGGTTCTACGAAGTTTCAAGCTTCACAGTTGTGGGAGGTCGAATTCCTTGTTTTTCGAGTACCGTTCTCCAGGCTGCAGTAGGTTGTGCAACACTGGCATTCCACTTAGTCAGTATCGTGTTTGGAGCTGACATCGTGGCTGAGGTCTTGATCTTAGCATGGAAAGCAGCCCCCCACTCTTCAGCTGACGCGTACGCTTGAATGAGTTGCTGAACCATTAGGCATCACCATAATGTTAGATACAAAACAATCGGCAAGAAACGCTAAGACTCACCTCATCATTCTGCAACAAGGAGGCGACGAAAATGGCGTCATTGTGACGTTTACGAGTCAGGAGAGCTGGGCCAAGTTGCTTAAGAGGTGCCTGTATCCCACCACGATGAAGGGCGATACAAGCGCGCTGGAAGAGTGATGAACCCTTTAGAAACAAAAAATGTTAACAACAGCAGATCACTCCAGTACAGCGACTTGTTTACCGTGAGATCAAGCGAGTCACGCTCCTGATCAAAGAGATCGCCCAGTAGCTTTGTCAAAGGCTCCAACAGTTTATGCTTGATACATATGTTCACTTTCAACGACAGTGAGAGACCCGGTAAGAGCCGTAAAGCTTCCGACGCATGATCAAACGCCTCGAAAACAGCTCCCAGCCATTCAGTAGCATCTCGACACAGCGGTTGAGCAAGTTCTGCAGCCCGCTCGACCGTCCCAGCCGTCACAAGCAGTGCACATTGAAGAACGCGGTTTGACAGATCAAGGATGTGAACAGCTTGCAGTGGACCCCCCAATACGAGTTTTTGATCCAGCACACCTAGGATTGTAGTCGCCCCAGCTGGGAATATCTAAGGTACATTAACCGTAACGTTAGATAAATTCGTAGCAAAACACCGAGGCCAATGCTTCCCACTTACCTGAGGTCTCGGGTACTGGTTCAGGTCGTCGTCACTGACTTGAGTGGCACAAGACGCTTCGTTCAGCACCCATCGAGACGCTAGAGCTAGCGTAAAGCATCGCGTTTGTGAGATCAAACTACATTTTACCTCGTCTTCCGAGGTGAAGAACAGCGTGTGGTGCATCCAATACAACGAAAGTGCCGTCGTCGGGGTTGGAATTTCATGCAGAAACTTCATCGTAGTAGTCGAATCTCCTTCCTGTTGTTTATTCCGCTCATTGGAAGCGCTGAAGCGATAGATTTTGATGCAAGTTGGATACACGAGTGCACACAGACTGCGAGTGGTAGTGTCCCATTCCAGACTGAGAGGACAATCAACAGCAAACCCACCAGATAGTTTTCGTAGTCCTGCTTCACCTTCCAGTCCCCCCGTAACGGGACTCCACTCGTAGAATTCCAAGAACGTTTTTGTTAGATCACTTGCAGAGTCCATTGACTCGACATTCACTGCTGTGGGTGAAGCTGATGGAGATTGGGATGGAGACATCATTGTGAGTCTCAGATCCGACATCTTCGGAGACGACATCGTACTAAGACCGAGCATAAATGACTGTGCGCGTTGGACTCGACTAAGCGACGCAGGGCTGTCACGTGCTCGCTTCACTATCGCCCCACCAGCAACTAATGGCGCCGGATCGATAGCAGTAGCATCAGCAACGTATTTGACCACACCGAGTAGTGGACCAGAGAAAACGTGGAGCAAATTGTCGTCTCCACTTGCGAAACTGGTTTCGACAAATTCGATCTCTGCATCATCTCCCGAGATCTTGTAGATCGTCAACGTCAGACTTCTCGCAGCAGCTCGTTGTTGACGGGCATCCGGTTCGTCGATTGCACTTGCGGCAGACGCTCTGCTACCTCCAAAGAAAAACCTCGAGCGTTTGTTCGGCACAATCGCAGACGCAGTATTTGATCGAGTCAGCTTGCCAGCCAGCTCCTTGTTTGGCTACGGAACAGATCAATACTTAATGAATCGTTACCAAACAGACAATAAACTACCAGAAACTCACAGCTAGAACGGCGAATAGTGGTTGCGACGGATGCCACGCAAAGCCAAAAGCGTGAGACACAAATATCGTCTCCAGATCGACTGCGTTCGGTGGCACAGGCTTCAATCCCACTTGCAAGATCTACAAGATGATGACAAAGTCAGTAGGTGCAGGTTCAATAACTACAAGAATTGTGGTTTTGTCACCTCGAGATGGCCACGCATCGGTAGGATTGCAGCTAGGAATCCATTGTGCCAGGGACTGTACTCTAACAGAGGAACTCGTGAACGCTCGATTGTGGCGGGAGTCTGAACATCAGCTCCGTTCTGCACAACATGAACTTGCGGCTTATCTTCTGGGGTTTCTCCCAGAACGCGCAGCCGTACTGCCATAGACGAAGGGAATCCGATCGCTGGAGTGTTCTTCGTGCCTTGAGGAATAAAAATCGGTGTTGGGGCAGCTAAAAAGCTAGTCTTGAGGACAAGTAACCCGTAGCTTGTGAGGCAACACAACTCTCCTGGATTGCGAGCGCTACTTGTAAGAGACGCCATCTTCAGTCTCTTGGGCGGTATCTACGGCAAAACTCAGAGCGTTAATCAGTGGTAACAACTTGTTAAACCTCCACGCTGCCTTGGGTTCTACCGGGTTAACAAAGATTCGTAAATCTCTGGACTCTTGGGTGTTGCTGCTCATATACTCAGTGAAGATAGTAGGCACGTTGTCCTTCCCGGAGTAGCGGCCTTTGACTCCGATTTCTGAAACCACCAGCTTTAAGATCACACAGTTTAATCGTAAAAGAACACAACGCCGTATGTCGAAAGCACACGTACAGTAGAGTTCAATGGGGACGTCGAAAGGGCCATGAAGCAGCCTTTCTGAGCTCCAGGGAGAACAACTAGACTTTGAAGCTTGCTATTAGGTAGAAGACCAGTGAGCGTGGCGCTGTAAACACAAGAATTTAGGGTCAGTATCGGTGAATAAATTGTAGAACCAATGCCACCACGTACGGTTTGTTGCTGTCCAATAACGGCGCAGCGTCAAAGAAGAATATCGTGCCGTCACGACAAGCCGCAGTCATGACGTCATGCAGCGGATGAAACTTGAGCTCGTGCACTCCGTTCGCAGTGTCGAATTGTCTAAACACGTCTCTGAGTTCCACTTCTGACGTCTTTACACAGTCACAGCTCGCAGTAGAAGCGTTTAGAGATACTCTCCACGTAACAACGTGTCCATCCAACGTAGCACAAGCAAGATGGTGTAACTGTGTGCTTAGACGAGTTTCAGCCCCCGGAAGAGACCCACTCCCGCTTCGCTTCATCAAAATCGGTGGCGTCGTCAGCAGAATAAGCTGCTGGACATCTATAAAGCGACAATGACAGTAAATACACTTGCTGTTTTCGTACATACATGCTATATCGTAAGCTCACCTCGCTGCGACCCGCTATCAAGAGTACCAACCGTTTTCGACTGCCATGGACTCCAGATCCGGATTTTCCCGTCTTGACAGCCGATCGCCAGAAGCCCGGAAGGTAATATGGCTACACTACTCGGTACACCACAATGTAAGTCTTCCGGGTCAAGGTGATGCACCTACAAGAACACAGCGTCAATAAGCTCAACGTCACTGCAGAAGTCACAACTGCATATGACTCACCACTCCGTTCTGATCAAGGTCACAAATCACGATGTGCGATCGTGAAATGATGATGAGCCATTCGTCGAAACATGTGCGAGACGCTGGCAATTGGGTCGTGCAGGCGATAGCTTCATGGTCGTAGAAAAGCATCTGCAGACACGGACGTCGTCTCGGTTTAATGAGAGAAGGACCAGTTGGAGACAATAAACCCTTGGCAGCAGCTGCAGCTCCTTGCACTGATCTCGCAGATGGAGAAGCTGTGGCTCGACTTAATAACCCCTTGGCTGGAGTCGTTGGGTTGAAAGCACCGGTGGATTCGGCGCCGTCCGCTGCATCCTCACTCGTCTCGTGGGCTTCTTCGTCGTCCAGCACTTGAGATTCACCTAGATCGAACTCCGTGACGACGTCACCTGTTTCATAGTCCCATACGATCCCGCAGCCTTTTTGCTCAATAGCAGCAACCCAGGGCTTTAAGGGGTGGAAAGTCACGTCAACGAACGCGCAGGGCTTCTTGTCGCTCACCCCGGGAATACTCAAGTGCGCCAGCAGCTCCACACATCCTACACCACGCTGTAAATCATCTACAGACCCTCGTGGTAAGTTTACGCGGCGCGTTTCCGCTCTACTGTCGCTGCCGAGGAGAGGCATGGGTCGGATGCGCAATTCGTGTCGCTTCAAGATCATATATGTGCACCAACACCATATTGAGTTACGGGGTTACCCATGAGGTTACGCTCGCTTTGTCTCAAGAACGTCTTGTTTTGCCGCAAGACACCTGCGCAGTTATGAGCGGCATGGAGAAGCAACAAGAGGTGCGCTTGCAGTTATTTTTTGGTCTGCATGTTGTGCGGATGAGAGTCTTGTGAATGGCAACTAAATGATGCGCTTTGCATCTCTCTGTGCTGCGTTTTAACTCGGATTAGAACGGAGCTGCCCACATGCGCCTCTCTTCATCGACTAGCGCTAGCAAGTCGCTGTCTCCGCCTGAGGTGTCGGACGTGAGGGTGGATTCAACCCGCTTTAAGCGTCTTATGGACCCAGAGAGTCCATCGACGCCCAAGGAAATTGCCGAGTACTTGCACGAAAAGCCGCATAGTGACCCCCAAATGGTGCACAAAACTCGCTGAAACACAAAAGTTGCCGAGTCTTTTACTGACTACAGAGTTGCAATGCTACAGGTCGGTCAAGTGTTAGGCGAACCAGACGCCAAGTCGATGAGCGTGCTGCATGAATACTCCAATGGCTTCCAGTTTGAAGACGTGGCATTCGACGTCGCTCTTCGAGTATACCTCAGTAGGTTTGAGTTGCCTAGAGAAGCTCAGAAGATTGATAGGATTCTACAAGCATTTGCCAAAGCCTACTACGCTAGCAACCCAGATAGCGACGAGTGCCCGTCGGAAGATGCTGTGTACACATTGGCGTTCTCAGTGCTGCTACTCAATACAGACGCTCATAACCCCAAGCTGGCACGGAAATTCAAAATGTCCCGAGCAGACTTCATCCGCAACTATCATCGACTGGGGGGAGAAGCTGGATCGGCAAGACCAGAGGTACCTGACGCGTATCTGGGGCAATGCTACGATTTGTTCGTCGCGGATGCGATTAAGCGGATTGAGAAGAAACCGGTCGAGCTGTTGCCCGACGAATTGGAGCTCGAGTTTCCTGACACGGCGCTGGGACTCGAGATTGAGACGTCGTTCGATGGTCGCACTGCAATCGTCAAGAAGTACGCCAACAACCGCCACACTTACAGCAGTAGACGACGGAGGCAGACGAACGGATCATCTGCGTCAACATCAAGCGGTTTCTTGGCATACAGTGCTGGTTTCCTGGCAAACATCTTGGCAGTAGCTGACCCGGAGTTATCCATCGATGGCTACGTCATTGTGGCAGTAGGCGATGACAGTACCCGCCAGATCGGTTACGCACTTACACGTTATTTGCTCAAGACGGCGCCGCGCCCTGTTCTCATCCGCTTTTGTGAGTCTAGCGTCTACTTTGCGTCTTTAGTTTGATTTCTCATCAATCTAGCAGCAATTACCATGAGTTCGTGGCTGCAAAAGCAACAACCTGTTCTGGTGCAGCGACTTGTGAACCGGCTCGCATGATCATGATGGGGAATGAATGCCCTCTACCGCACACTAAACGACGTGAGAACATGTGAAAGCGCCACACTGGCAACAACAAACACAACATCAACTCAGTCCTGCTATTTTAGAGGTGAAAATGGCTGCACACGTCATTAGATCTCCATGCATGGGAGCCGTTCCCATTTGCTTTCCACAAAAACGATAATGAAACCGGTTACCGCTTCTTTATTTCGGGTCCGTTTTCTCACTCACCTGCCGAGCTCAACGCCCGCCGTTCACAAGAACAAAGAGTGAAACGTGTCTGTGCAGTGCAACGACAACGCCAACCACAGCGGAAGAGACTGCATTCCTCAAGAGAGTGGAGACTGAAGAGAAACAATGGTATCCGCCAAATATCTGTATGGTTGTCACAGAGTGAAAGATCGCGTCGTTTCGTGTTATGTGTCCAAGCAGCCTTAATTGTGGTAAAATGTTAAATTCCCGTTATTAATATCTCACTACTGAATGGCAGCGTTAGGCTGTGGAAATGCTCGTTTTTAACTTTCTAAGTTTTGTTTGGTTCTTACCGAACTTTACTTTTTATAGTTTAAGACACTTCTGAGCACACACGAAATCTAACCTGTGGCAGGATAACAGGTGCAGCCTCCTCGGATACCAGCAGGTGCAGATTAATCTAGCATATTTCAAGCGTGTGGCTAAATTAAGAACGCAAGAAACGTCTTTTTAAATTGGGAAATACATAAAAACAGTGCAGTACTGTTCAAGTTTTAAATTTCATAATACAGCCGTAGAGAACTCATTTGAATATTTGCTGCGTTTTTTATACGCCCGAGTCCGTATCCTCGCCTACGAATACTAGGCCAGCACCTATTTAATAGACACCGCGGTAATACAAACATGAACAGTTTCTCCACGCCCAGTGGGCCGTAGCTGAGCAATTCGGATTTACAGCAGTCTATATTCCAAGCATTGACTACTGCAGTTTCCAGACAGACATGTCTGGTTTCTCCACTATCGGAGTACCGGATGCCACTGGCTAAAGCACGTGGGCAGAGTAAGTTTATTCAGTGTCTAAATGCATACGCCAAGTATAAAGTTTTTCGATTTTCGTCTTTTTCTCTCTTTTGGAATACGAAGTGACTAATTAGTTTAGGCACTTCTTCCCTATGTCAAATCGAAGCTAAATGTACTACGGGAAACCAGGGATTTTACTTCGGGAAATTTGGTGCCTCTTCGTCTACAGACGTTAAAGTTTCCCTGACTACTGGTGTACCAGCCAACGCCCACCCCTCAATCCGGACGACAATCACTGCTTCCCTCATCGTCATTCTCAGAAAGTGTTCGCCAACGTCACTTGCCAATTTGCTACGATGGGCGCAGTACTCGTTTGCTTCGAAGATCACGAACCTGGTTAGTCGGTTTTGCTGTCCGCAATCGAGATATCTGGGCATTGTTGACACCATTGTTCATTTTCAGACTTCAGCGATATCCGCCAGCGACGAGAGTGCTCGTTCAGCAAAGATTCCCTGCTTGATCGCCTGCAGAAGAACTGGAGCTGCGGAAGCCTCGGCGACGAGCAGGACGAAGATGAAGACCCCATCAAGTGAGTTAAATGCTAGTCGATAGAATTCCAGTACGTCGTCTAACAATTTCGTCTGTGATCACAGCTGGGACTCCTTCCTACTGCAATCCAATAGATCCACTGCCTCGTCAGGTAGTCGCATGCTGTCTGCATTCTATAGTCGTCTACTGGAGGAGAACGACGACTGTGCCTTCTACTTCGACATTAGGGGCAAACGTATCAAAGGAGCGTATCTGGATCGAGTGGAGCTATTGGACGACTATTTCCTGCCTCTGGGACGGAGGCGAGCCCTCTCAACGGAATCGCCGCCCCCAATGGAGTCCCTGGAGATGTACTGCTTCAGCGACGACTGCTTCTCCACTTCGTCCACCATGACGAGTGAACTTGACTACTGGGTGTCTTCAGACCCGCTCTTCTCGTCAGAGGAGCGCCGATACGACCCACGCTACATGCCTGCAAAGCCGACTCTCGGTCGCTGCGCAAGCTGGGGCGCGCCCGCCCACACGGGACTTAAGATCCACCGAACCTTCAGTAGCCCGTACAACCAGGAAGACTCGTGCTTCTTTCGTTTCCAGTCCCCATCCAAGCCATTCCAGCCCTCAGCCATGGGTCTGGCTGCCTAAATAGAGTCGACTAGGGCTCTCTTATCTTATTAGCGTGCCTCAAAAAGCATACCGGTACTTGCAGTTTTTTTTTTAATCAATTTCGTGTTCAACACGCAGCATTTTATATTGTGGCTTTCTACATGGCAATGACTTACACTTGGTTTTTAATCCATTTCCTCTTTGATCCACGTACTGATGCCTCGTTTCGGGTTACTGTAGTAGAACTTGCCCGGTACACTACGCGACTCACGTTTGACCCAGCCAGGAGGAAGTTTCTCGGCAGCTTCAGGATGTTCTCTTTGCTGTTGAGCACGTTTGACCATCTCTTCAGGGTGGAAATGGCAGATCTCCTTGAACATGAGTTCCTTGAGATCCGTCTCGTCCAGATCGTCCAAGTCGAAGCTCTGGAACTTCTCCACTGGCACACTCTCACGCTCTTCATCGTAATACATGGCCAGATACGGATGTCGCAGTGCCTCCTCCACTGTAATACGCTTCTCTACATCAAACACGAGCATCTTCCACAACAGATCCAGACCTTCCGGGTTCGCGTTCGGGAACATGGTGGTCGTATCGATCCCAGCCACTGCTTGAGTGCGACTCAACAACTGACGGCCCTTAAGTTTATTTGCCAGTGGATTCTCCTTGAACGAATGCTCCTCCGGTACACCCAACACGTTCATAATGAGTTGCAGTTGGTGCACATACGTCTCACCCGGAAACAAAGGTTTGCGTCCCAGCATCTCGGCGAAAATGCATCCTGCAGCCCAGAGATCCACTCCGTCGCCATACGCACTACCTAACAACAGCTCGGGCGCACGGTACCATCGTGTCACCACATATTCCGTCATCCCCACGTCGTCTGCTTCCTTGGAACGTGCCAGTCCAAGATCACAAATCTTGAGTTGACAGTCTGAATTGATGAGTAGATTACTTGGCTTCAAGTCACGGTGTAACACTCCAGCACGATGCATGTGGAGCAGACCACTGAGCATTTGATACAGGAAATACCGGATGTGATCGTCACGTAGCACCTCCTTCGAGTAGATAATACGATGCAAATCCATCTCCATGAGATCCACCGTCATGTACACGTCGCGGAAATCTGTGTACGATGGCGGAGGGATCAGATCCAGCAAACTCAGGACGTTTTCGTGAGCCATGTGACGAATTAATCGACACTCGCGAAGAATCTGCTTGAGCTGATGAGGGTGCCAAATGCAGTCGATGACCTTCTTGATAGCCACGTTGCCACCTGTCCGCAGGTTCGTGGCAGCAATCACAATACCGTAAGCACCGCGACCACATACTTTAATGAGCTGGTAATGCCGTGGGATCGTGAATGGAGCACCGCAAACCATAAACGTGTGCATGTCAGCATTCTCCTTGCAGATAACAGCGTCACTAGCGGCAGGGAGAGCGGCACTGGTGTCGGGGAAACGCTTGTGTACCGATTCATCGTCATCTTCCTTGCTACTGACAATTGCACCAGCCGACTGTGGACGCGCGGTGCCTTCAGGCGAGAGCTTCACGTTAGCCCAGCCATGACGACGTGCATGTTCACTTCCACCCATCTGAAACTCATCCAGAGTCATTCCTTTCTTGAGTGCAGGCGTTGCAGCTCCTAGCAGCGCCTGGGAGTGAGCAGGTGTGGCATCCCATTGCAACATGTTGGAAGACGGCGGGTTCTTCCGGTCAATTACAACGCTCTGACTTTTCTTGAGTCGCGGTTGTACACCACCGGTATCATCTGTAAGCTTCTTGCGTCGACAAGTGAGTCCCAGCTGCACCTTGCCACAGTATTCGCCTTTAGCGTTACTTATCGAATACCACTTGCTGTCAGCAGCCATCGCTGCTTCCTCCCTCTTTTTGGTACGTTCATTACCGTCTGCAGCCATCAGATACTTGGCAACATTAAGCGTAGCGAAGCCAAGCTGAGACTCGAGTCCATTCTTGGCATGGTCTTTCACGTCCACTACAAGCGAGCAAGTGCCGATAACGTGACTGAACGGGAGTTCGAGGACACGATTCCACACGGGATGCGTCGGTAGATACGACTCGTCTCCTGCATTGCGCGGTGTCCCAGTGCTGAAGGGATCTACCACTGGAGTTGAGTTGTTGGATGAGACACCAACAGCAGAGGAAGCCGCAGAGGCCGCAGAGCTCGCGACGGACGTCATAAAGCTAAACTTCCGCGACAAATTTGGCATCGAAATGCCGCCGATAAGAGCCGACGGACCCGTTGTAGTCGATGATCCTGCTGTTGAAGCGTTCATGCCAGGCTTGGGTTGTTCACGGTACTGGAGCTGCGCCGTGATGCTCGGTTCCTTGACAGCTTTCTTGACTGATATACCAGCCTTCAGTCCATGACCCTGCATCACTCTTACCAATAACACACCTTCAAGACCGTGCTCAGCATCCACTTCGTTAAACTCTTGAGGCAACTTAAGCGTCGTCGCTGCACCAGGAACTTTGAATACCGCACTAGCTGCTACAACGTCGCCATTAATCTCGAACCGGGCGAGTCTTCCGTCCGAATAGAACGTGAACTTGTGCACCCAATTCTGAATAAATTTCCTTGCATCACGGCGATTCTCGAGCTCTTCTTTACCAGAAGCAACAGCAATGGAGCCATCCACCGACATGCCACCGATTTTAAAGTTCGTCCATAGTGTATGTCGTGCAAAGTCGTGCATAAATGTCACTACACCCAAGTGGCCACGGAAGGAGCCGTGGAACGGTACAGACGGTGGATAATTGGAGCAAAATATGACGTCCTTGTCCAGTAACCGGAAGAAGCGTGTGAATACTTGTTCAGAGGGAGGAGGCAACGTCACAGCCATGTCACCTTCGGTACGCCAGGTGCCACTGTATGCTGTATACAACACCACCAACATCGCGTAAAACTCCTCCATGTCTAGTGGAGCTACGGGGAGTGTAGGGAGCGCCACGATAGCTTCAAGTCCAAGTCGCATCCAGATGAATTTCTCCACAGCCGTCGGCGCTGTCACTTGCAACGTCTTCTTGTCTTCGGTAATAAACGTGAACCCATTGGCTCGACTCGATGAATCTTTGACGCCTGCTAGCACGTACAAATGACTCGCATTACTGGATGCAGGACTGCTGGAATTCCGCCGGATCATACTAGCTGCAGGACTACCAGGTACCGGTTTACTAGGGTCACTTGGAGGTTGGATATGATGAGGTACAAGTGGCTCATCTCGAGACGCTAGATAGGCCTCTTTCGAGGCGAATCTGCGTAAAAATTTGCCTTCTAACACATAGTAGTGTCTCTCCAGTCTTCGTAGCCATTCGCTCCGTCTAGTCAGCACACCTTCCCACTTCACCGCTTCATGATACAACGTCCCAGATTGTGGCCGGAACGTCGAGTCGTCCACTCCAGACGGAGAGCTGGCATCAAGCTCCTTGTCGATATCTAACGATGGTCTGTCGCCATTCTGTATCGCAGTTACTGGACCCGGATGTGTTGGGATTGGGTTTGTTACTTCCGAGTGGCTTGACTCCTCCTCTTGTGTCAGTTCTCCATCCTCGTGTTGCTCCACTCGAATGCTGCTAGTAGTAGACGACGGCTCGGTAAGAAGCTTTCCTGCCCCTGCCGCTGTAGTAGACGAGATCCTTTCTCCAAGTGTGTTGAGACGCGAGTCTTTCGCCTCCGACAAGCGCCGCAACGACGCATCATACAA